CAGCTCTCGGCCACCATAGACAATACCTTAGCAAACAGGAAGGTGTACCATCAGCTCTCGGCCACCATAGACAATACCTTAGCAAATAGTAAGGTGTACCATCATCTCTCGGCCACCATAGACAGTACAAATGGTAAGGTGTACCATCATCTCTCGGCTACCATAGACGGTACAAATGGTAAGGTGTACCATCAGCTCTTGGCCTTAGGTCTTGGCCACCTTAGACAATACCTTTCCTGTGTACATCCTTTCCATTAATCCTGTAGGCATAGTTCTCAGGCCTGTAATCCTTGCCAAAACATTTTCCATGTGGCAACACATTGCTTTTCTGAGAGGGCTAGACCAACACAAAATGCTGCCCACCCAGGGTGCCAGCCTCACTCATTGCAGCCCACTGGCCTTAGATGCTAAATCTCTCCTTTCCCCGTAGGCATTTTCTGTTTTAATAGTTGTATAAATAGAACTGTAGGGTTAAGTTCATAGGCTTTCAATGATAATAAGGACGAAGTCTTTTTGTGCAAGGAAAGAGAGTCTTTCCTACTCTAGTCTGAACTCTGTTTATAATCTATAATCCTGGTCCCTTTATTTCTTTGGGGGTTATTGATTTTTCTTACCAATTTAAATGAATATTTTTATATAATGTACATAAAAAATGACGTTCATTTTTAAGACTATCTGATTTTGAAGAAATGACATTAGCATGTTTGTTTTCTAGCTGGTTTAGGTGAATTCCGAATTCGAGACCTGAATGATGAAATTAACAAGCTGTTAAGGGAGAAAGGACACTGGGAAGTCCGGATAAAGGAGCTGGGCGGTCCTGACTATGGGGTAAGTCAGCAGCAGCCCCAGTGGCAGGGCCCACCAAGTGTTGTACCCCTGCACCTCCCAGCACATCCCAGCCCTGGAGTAGGCCTTTGATAATGAAAGAAGTGACTATTGCATGTGGGTGGGAAACCTTTGAGAAGGTTGGGTAGGATGATGCTGGAAGATTCCACAGCACAGGACTCAGGGCAGGCGTAGCACCTGCATGCAGCAGCCAGGTGCTCTTGAGAAAGCCACTTCATCTGTCTGTGTCCGTGTGTACAGTGACCATGGCCCCTCACATCCTTCTCGGCACCAAGGGACTTGGGGCAGTCACTTGTTGGCTTAATCCAAGGGGGCTTCAGGGATAGTCCATTTGGTGGTCTTTATGTTTTTTCTTGGACTCTTATAAATGTAACAGTATTTCAAAATTTTGGGACCCTAACCCATTGTAAAATGCACACATATCCATTTTATGTTATAACTCAGCACACAAAAATGTACTGGAAAAAATACTTAGTGTGATGCATTTTGATATTTTTTTCTCTGTTCCATTTTGATTTCTTTTCCTTTCCCTTTCCCCTTCTTTTCTTTTTGAGACAGAGTTTTACTTTATTGCCCTCAGTAGAGTCCCGTGGTGTCATAGCTCACAGCAACCTCAAACTCTTGGGCTCATGCGAGTCTCCTGCCTCAGCCTCGCAAGTAGCTGGGACTATAGGCACCCGCCACAATGCCTGGCTATTTTTTTTTAGAGACAAGGTCTCGTTTTGGCTCAGGCAATCTACCTGCCTTGGCCTCCTAGGGTTACAGGTGTGGGTTACAGGCGCGAGCCACTGTGCCCAGCCCTTTTCCTTTTCTTTCTTTATTTTATTACTTTATTTTTTTAGAGACAGAGTCTTACTTTGTTGCCCTTAGTAAAGTGCCGTGGTGTCACAGCTCACAGCAACCTCCAGCTCCTGGGCTTAGGCAATTCTCTTGCCTCAGCCTCCCAAGTAGCCGGGACTACAGGTGCTTGCCACAATGCCCGGCTATTTTTTTGTTGTAGTTTGGCTGGGGCTGGGTTTGAACCTGCCACCCTCGGTATATGGGGCTGGCGCCCTACTCACTAAGCCATAGGCACCGCCCTCTTTATTTTATTTATTTATTTATTTATTTATTTATTTATTTTGAGAGAAAGTCTCAATGTGTCACCTTGGCTAAAGTGCTATGGTATCATAGCTCACAGCAACCTAAAACTCTTGGGCTCAAGCCATCCTTTGCCCCAGCCTCCCAGCTAGCTAGGACTACAGGCTCCCTCCAGAATGTCCAGACAGTTTTTCATTTTTTAGTAGAGGCAGGGTCTCACTCTTGGTCAGCCTGATCTGGAGCTCCTGAGCTCAAGTGATCCTCCTGCCTCAGCCTCCCAAAGATTATAGGCATGGGTTTCCACAGCCAGCTTCATTTTAATTTTTCAAAAATTAATGATTATGATTTGCTTAATTGATTTAAAGACCCACTGATGGGTGTTGACTTTGAAAAGTACTGCCTTAGACCCAGACCCTTCTACCCGTTTGTGACAAGATCTGCCTCTGGTCACTGGAAGTGACAGCCTCATCACTGGGCTGTCATATGTTATGCAGAGAGGCGCAGCTTTCCTACATGTTGGCCTTCTCACCCTTATGAAGGTGACAGATAACAGTAATTCTCACAGTAGCACTTTATAGTACCTGGCATAAATTAGAGCATTTGTTCTTCCCTTTGCAGAAGGAAAGGCACTCGTGTTTCTGGAGCACCTGTTACGTTCCAGGCACTGTGCTAGGAACTTTCTCGGGTGGATCACTTAACTGCTTTAGCAGATCTGTGATGATTTTATTTTTCTTTGCAGGCTGCTTTAAAGTAAAGCAAAAATTCAACACTGTTAATGTTTTTATATATTTTCTTCTTGAGTTTTTTAATGCCTAATGATTTTATTTTTGTTTTCTACATATAAAAGTAATACATTAAGTTTAGAAAAATATGAGGAAGCAGAATAACATTTCGCCATATTCCCATTACCTAGAGCAGCTACTTGAATATTTCCTCCCATTGCTTTTGCATGAATGCCATAACTGAAACCGAGCTCACTGTGTGTACAATTTGGTTCAAGCTTTAGTCTTTTTCTTAAATGGTAACTTTGATTATATACATAACATATACTTTGGGGAAAAAAGAATATAGAACTTATAAAATATGGAAGTATACTTATATATGTTATAAATATATAATATATGGTATAATTATATATTTTCTGCCTACCCAGAAATAACTACTGTAACATTTTCTATTTTCCTTAATTTTCTCTAGGCATATATATTTACTTTTATGAAATGATTCATGTTCTAACTAACCACGTTTTGTTCTCTTAACAATGAATGTATCAGGAGTTTCATATCAATAAACGATCATTTATTCATTATTTATCTTCTGAGATAGACTCTTGGTCTCTCGTGCCTGGGCTCCAGGGCAGGGTGTCATCATAGCTCATTTACAACCTCCAACTTTTGAGCTCAAGTGATCCTCCTGCCTCAGCCTCCCAAGTGGCTAGGACTAAAGGCATGCAGCACTGTGTCTGGCTAATTTTTAAAATTTTTTATAGAGATAGGGTTTTATTATTGCCCAGGCTGATTTCAAACTTCTAAGCCCAACTAATCCTTCCACCTTGGCCTCCCGGAGTGCTAGGATTACATGCATGAGCCACTGTGCCCGGCTCAATTATATCATTTAAAAAATGTTCTTAACACAGAAAGTAGCAAAAAAGTGCAGAGATCACCTATATACCTTTTATATAGATTTACCAGGTTTTTTGTTTGTTTGTTTGTTTTGTTCTTTTTGAGACAGAGTTTATGTTGCCCTTGATAGAGTGCTGTGGTGTCACAGCTCACAGCAATCTCAAACTCTTGAGCTTAGCGATTCTCTTGCCTCAGCCTTCCAGGTAGCTGGGACTATAGGCACCTGCCACAATGCCTGGCCTTTTTTCGTTGCAGTTGTCATTGTTCAGCAGGCCTGGCTGATTTGAACCCACCACTTTTGGTGTATGTGGCTGGCACCGCAACCACTGTGCTATGGGCGCCAAGCCAGATTTACCAGTCTTTAATATTTTGTTGTGTTTGCTTTATTTTCTGTAAGTACCTTGAGATTTTTTTTTTTTATGTGTGTGTGTGTGTAGAGACAGAGTCTCACTATGTTGCCCTCGGTAGAGTGCTGTGGCATCACAGCTCACAGCAACCTCTAGCTCCTGGGCTTAGGCAACCCTTTTGCCTCAGCCTCCCAAGTAGCTGGGACTACAGGTGCCCACCACAACGCCTGGCTATTTTTTTGTTGCAGTTTGGCCCGGGCTGGGTTTGAACCTGCCACCCTCGGTATATGGGGCCAGCGCCCTACCCACTGAGCCACAGGCGCTGCCCAAGATTTTTTTTTTTTTTAACTATTTGATAAGGAGGTTAAATACAATGTATCATGCCCCTTTATCCCTTAATACTTCTATGTGGGTGGGTGCGGTGGTTCATGCCTGTAATGCTAGTACTCTGGGAGGCCAAGGTGGGTGGATTGCTTGAGTTCACGAGTTCAAGACCAGCCTGAGCAAGAACAAGACCTGATCTCTACTCAAAATAGAAAAACTAGCCAGGCATTGTGACAGGCTCCTATAGTCCCATCTATTCGGGAGGCTGAGGGAAGAGAATTGCTTCTTTAAGTTGATGTACTATATCCAGACCCAAGAGTTTGAGGTTGCTATGTGCTGTGATGATTCCATGGCACTCTACCTAGGGTGACAGGATGAGACTCTGTCTCAAAAAAAAAAAATCATGGTCTTTGGTAGCATTTATTTCACCTGTAGTACAGGACCTGGCCCATGGTCACATAATTGTTGGCATCATCATTTTTAATAGATACATTTTCATCTTCTAATATATTTCATTTGTCTTCTACTGATTATCCTTAGGTTGTTTGCAGTTGCTTTTTGTGTTTTGTTTTGATTCAGGGTCTCACTCTGTCTCTCAGGCTCAACCGCAGTGGTGTCATCATAATTCACTACAGCCTCAAACTCCTGGGCTCAAGTCCTCTTGTATCAGCCTCCCAAGTATTTGGGACTACAGGTGCCTGCCATTGCACCCAGCTAATTTTCTGTATTTGTAGAGACAGGCTCTTGCTCTTGTTTAGGCTGGTCTTGAACTCCTTGGCCTCAAGTGATCCGTCTGCCTCAGCCTTCCAAAGTGCGAGGATTACAGACATGGGTCACTATGCCCAGCTATTTAGGTTGATTTTTAAGGGACATAAGAGGACCATAAATACTTTTGCACATGTAAATATTTTCCACATTGGCATATCTTAAAATGTATTTGCAGACATGGAAATGGTGGGTTTAAGGATTGAATCCATTTTCTTTTTTTTTTCTTCCTAATAAGAAAGTTGGCCCTAAAATGCTGGATCATGAAGGGAAAGAAGTCCCAGGAAACCGAGGTTACAAGTACTTTGGAGCAGCAAAAGATCTGCCTGGTGTTAGAGAGTTATTTGAAAAAGAACGTAAGTAGCTAATACTTGTGAAGATTTTAGCTTCTGATTATTGGTATAATCATGAGTTGATATACTATATACTAAACTCTTTTCTTACATTTTTTCTTAGCAGCCATATCGTGTAGTAATTATTGTTCCCAGATTTTAAGAGAAACCATAAGCACTGGCATTGAAATCATAGGTCCAGGGTACACAGTTGAGGCTAAAAGTGAGCCCAGAATTGGCTGGTGCCAAATTCCACACCTATGCACACACCAGTCTGTGGGTCTGGGCCAGAGGCTTCTCTGATGTGTCCCAAAACTGTTCTTAAGTTCATCAAATAAGGCTTACGTTTTAGTTACTTATTAGTTGAAAAAATTGTAACTGAAGAACAAATAAACTCTTGGGCTGAACCCCAACCTCCCATGTAAACATGGAGAAAGGTAGAACTGTGCCATGTGAATCCTGGAGAATTCACACCCCACCTCTCCTTTCTCTTCCCACCACTGTGGCTGTGGGGAGCTTCAGCCAAACCCTGGGCTTTCAAAAATACAATTTGAAACCACTAGTCTAGAGTTATAGTGTATTTTAATTTTGTCTTTTAGAAAAGTGATCTATATGGCCTTGCACAGTGGTTCACACCTATAATCCCAGCACTCTCGGAGGCGGAGGTGGGTGGATCACCTGAGCTCAGGAGTTCAAGACCAGCCTGAGCAAGAGTGAGACCTCATCTCTAAAAATAGCTGGGCGTTGTGGTGGGCACCTGTAGTCCCAGCTGCTTGGGAGGCTGAGGCAGGAGGATCGCTTATGCCCAAGAGTTTGAGGTTGCTGTGAGCTATGATGACACGATACTCGATGAAAGGCAACCAAGTGAGACTCTTTCTTAAAAAAAAAAAAAAGAAGGCGGCACCTGTGTCTCAGTGGGTAGGGCACTGGCCCCACATACTGAGGGTGGCAGGTTCAAACCTTGTCCCAGCCAAACTGCAACAACAAGAACAAAAATAGCCAGGTATTGTTGTAGGCACCCTAGTCCCAGCTACTTGGAAGGCTGAGGCAAGAGAATCACCTAAGCTCAGGAGTTGGAGGTTGCTGTGAGCTGTGTGACGCCATGGCACTCTACTGAGGGTGATAAAGTGAGACTCTGTCTCTTAAAAAAAAGGAAAAGTGATCTAAATACTTGGTAGAAAAAAGTGTGAGCAGCACAATACCAGTATTTTTACCACTATTGGCATTTCACTATCTCCTTCAAATATAGTTCTGCTTTCAAATCCATTATCCACATTAAATGAGTCATTACCATCACTTGACAATAATTGAAAGTGTGCATATTATGCTATTAATAGGAAAGCGATATTATTTTATTACACAAATGTCCTAAAATACATCAGAAAAAAAGACCCACATTTTCACAACTTGTATATGATAATTGTTAACATGTTGGGGCAGAATTACTTCCGGTTTTTTTTTTTTTTTGAGACAGAGCCTCAAGATGTCCCCCTGGGTAGAGTGCTGTGGCATCACAGCTCACAGCAACCTCCAACTCCTGGGCTCAAGAGAGTCTCCTGCCTCCGCCTCCCAAGTAGCTGGGACCACAGGCACCCGCCACAACGCCCGGCTGTTTTTTGGTTGCAGCTGTCATTGTTTGGTGGGCCCAGGCTGGATTTGAACCCGCCACCTTAGGTGTATGTGGCCGGCGCCTTAGCCGCTTGAGCCACAGGCGCCGAGCCATTACCTTCAGTTTTTAAAGGGCTGCAGGGTGGCAGCTCCTAAATTGTGATTTTGCTGTGCGTATCTGGTTTTTGCATTTACATATTTTCTAAATGTATCTTTATTTATCCTAGTCATAGATTGTTTTTTGTTTTTTTTTTGAGACAGAGCCTCAAGCTGTCCCCTTGGGTAGAGTGCCATGGCATTACAGCTCACAGCAACCTCCAACTCCTGGGCTCAAGTGAGTCTCCTGCCTCCGCCTCCCAAGAAGCTGGGACCACAGGCGCCCGCCACAACACCCGGCTATTTTTTTTTTTTTGGTTGCAGCTGACATTGTTGTTTGGCGGGTCCAGGCTGGGGATTTGAACCCGTCACCTTAGGTGTACGTGGCTGGCGCCTTAGCCGGTTGAGCTATAGGTGCTGAGCCATAGATTGTTTTTTTAAACAAGAAAGTGCATAACTCAGTTTTACTGCATATAATTCAAGTAGTAACAGATATAATTAAAGTCCCCCTGCACTCTCCCCCATTTCAGTGCCCCTACTAGAAGTAACAGGTAACCATTATTATTTGTTTATTATGTTCCCTTCAAGGCCTTTTTCTTTTTCCTTTTCTTTTCTTTTATTTTTTTGAGACAGAATCTTACTCTGTTGCCCTGGGTAGAGTGCCATGGCATCCTGGTAGCTCACAGCAACCTCTAACTGTAGGGCTTACTTGATCCTCTTGCCTCAGTCTCCTGAGTAGCTGGGACTACAGGCACCTGTCACAATGCCCAGCTAGTTTTTCTAATTTATAAGAGACAGGATCTTGCTCTTATTCAGGCTGGTCTCAAACTCAGGAGCTCAAGCAATCCACCCGCCATGGCCTCCCAGAGTGCTAAGATTATAGGTGTGAGGGTGGCACCTGTCGCTCAAAGGAGTAGGGTGCCAGCCCCATATGCCGGAGGTGGCGGGTTCAAACCCAGCCCCAACCAAAAATTGCAAAAATAAATAAATATTAAAAAAAAAAGATTATAGGTGTGAGCCACTGCACCGCATTTACCTGTGTAAAAATGTAAATGCTAAATTTCATCAATATAAGAGACAGATGACTCAACTCCAAAGAAGTTCCAAGGTAACTGTCTTCAGGCATGGCTGAATCCAGCTCACACGTCTCGGTGTTACAGGCTTGGTGTCTACCATGTGAGCTGCTTTCTCTGCCCAGCTGTCCACCTGTGCTTGCCATCTTCTGTCAACTTACAGCTTGTCTTCTCTCAGCAACCAATTTTCCCCCCAAGCAGTTCAAGCAAAGTTCTCATAATTGAGTGCAGCTGGCTTTGATTGGATCATAAACTAGTCCCGTTGGCCAGGAGGAATGCAGAGAGGCTTCCACCTGTGCCAGCCAATACAGTGACCACCACTTACAGGACGTGGACCAAGAGTAGCAGAGGGTGGACAAGGGTGCTGTTACCAACAGCCGGGTAGTGGATGGAGGCCTGTGAATCACAGTGGCTCTCCCACACCTGTCGGGTTGGGATTCATTGATACCTTCCCATAGGTATACTTAGAACTTTATTGGTAGATATGAAAGATTAGAGTATCATGGTGTAGGGTAACCATATTGATATAACCATTGTTACATGGGTAGACCTTTAATTATTTCCAGATTTCATAAGATTTGTATTGATCTAGGCTCGGCGCCTGTGGCTCAAGCGGCTAAGGCGCCAGCCACATACACCTGA